TAAAGGAATTTAGCTACCGTGTTTCTCACAAAATAAGGCCGGGCCTTATTTTGTTTTTGAGCCCTGAAAAAACGGCTAGGACGTCTTTTCGGGGGGTGAATTAATTTCTCCCACCCCCCGCGCACCAGCACCGTCTCCAACAACAGCATCTGAGTTGCTTCTGCTTTTCCCCCGTCCCCGTAACAACAGGAAAAAAAAGATTTTGAGGTATCTGGGAGTGCCACACGCTGCGTTTTGGTTTAATCCTGTGCGGCTGGGTGGGCCTGAGAAGAGCCGAGCGAGCATCTCTGCTGCTGCTACCCTTGGTGCTCCAGCCTCAGGCTCTGCAAGTTTGCAAAAGTCCCAGTGTGCAGCCCGTTCCTGCATTCCAAGCACCCAGGCCAAGCTGCAGCTGTCCCTCTCTTGCCAGCGCCGTCTCCAATAACAGCAGCAGCAGCGGCGGGAACCGTGGAAGTTACGGAGGCGGCTCCCCCACCCAAGAAGCGGCTGAAATGCTTCCACGGTTCCTGCCGCTGCTGCCGCTATTATTGGAGATGGTGCTGGTGAGAGAGGAACAGCTGCAGCTCGGCCTTGGCGCTTGGAATGCAGGAACGGGCTGCGCACCGGGACTTTTGCAAACCTGCAGAGCCCGAGGCTGGAGCAACAAGGGTAGGAGCAGCAGAGACGTTCGCTCGGCTCTTCTCACGCCCACCCAGCCGCTCAGGATTAAACCAAAACGCAGCGCGCAGCACTCCCAGGTACCTCAAAATGTTTTTTTTCCCCTGTTGTTACAGGGACGGGGGAAAAGCGGGAGTGACTCAGACACTGTTGTTGGAGATGGCGCTGGCGAGAGAGGTGCCAGCACCGGTGGGAACCGTGGAAGCTACGGAGGCCTGAGAAGCGGCTGAAACACTGCCGGACATCCACGCCAACGCCACCCACCTGCTGATCCGGGTAAGGGAGCGGTAAGGGAGCCCTCCATGCTCCATCATCGTGTTAGGAGCGGCTGATGATGAGGCGTAGCTGCCCGCAGGGCACTCCTAATGGCAAGTTCCCCCCTGCCTCCCCCCCAATTTTGCATGTTTTAAACTAGGCCTAAATTTGGGGGGAGGGGCTTAATTTCATTTTATGCCTAGAAAACATGCTGGGTCTTCCTATTGGGGGGGGCATATTGTTGGAGAAACATGGTAGCAATGCCTTCAGTTGATCTACCTGGCTGAAGTTGTGGAAAGGGCTGCTGTACAGTATACAATGGGGTGAGGGGCTTCTGGTTTTAAGCCCTCCATTTTTCTAGGAGAGGGGAGGAGAGGCGTTTTAAAGACAGAATGCTGCTAATTCATATAGAATTCTTTATTGGCCAAGTGTGAATGGCCAAAGGAATTTGTCTTCGGTGCATAAGCTCTCATTGTCAGGGCTGCCTTAACAGCATTATGGGCCCTGAGCAAAGCAGTGTACTGGGGCCCCTACAACAACTACTCACATGAATAAAAATGTAAATGGTTGATAAAATTACACATATATTTATTTTATTGGCACTTAATAAATTTACGAATATTACGAATAAATATGTAATAAATACGTTGCTGTATGTATATGATACAAGGTGCATTGAAGGGTTAACATACACAGATTAGTATGGGGCCCCTATGCTCGTGGGGCCCACAGGCAAGTGCCCATCAGGCCCATGAGTTAAGACAGCCCTGCTCATTGTATATAAAAGCTTATAAGTGATAAATCATGATCATAGTCATCATAAAAATACATTCATCCTAAATCATAAGATACAACACTTAGTTAAAGAATCAACATAAATCGTACTAGGAAACTAAATAAAACAATATAAACTGTAAAGATACAAGCAACAAAGTTATAGTCAGAAGTAAAAGAGAAGATAGATAATAGGAAAGATGAGAAGAATAATAGTAATACAGTCTTACTAAATAGTTCAACAATGTTGTGGGAATTAGTTGTTTAGCAGTGATGGCATGTGGGGGGGACTGTCCTTTTGTCTAGCTGTTCTGGTATGCAGTGCACTATAGCGTTGTTTTGAGGGTAGAATATGTAAGCTGCCATATAAACCAATCTTTGCCAAGCGTACACAGTATAAGTACATTTTTTTTTGATGGAAATATTTTTTTTAATTCAGAAAACTTTTCTGAATAAATGCTTGAGGAGGCTTCTAAAGGAAAGATATATTTCTGATATATTAAGATATATTACTATTAACGTAGTTTGTAACATCCTTGACCGGGTTAAAGTTTCTGAAGATAACCATACACAGTAATCCAAACATGAAGAAACTAAGTAACCAAGGCATGACAAAAATGTCATTACTAAATACAGGTAGTCCTCAACTGATGGCCACAGTTGAGCCCAAAATTTCTGTTGCTAGGTGTGAAGTGAGTTTTGCCCCATTTTTACAACTTTTCCTGCCACAAGTGAATCGCTGCAGTTGTTAAATGAGTAACACCATAGTTAAGTGAATCTGTTTTCCCCATTGGCTTGTCCGAAGATCGCAAATGGTGATCACATGACCCCAGGACACTGCAATTATTATAAACATGAGTCAGTCGCCAAGCATCCGAACGCAAGTCACGTGACTATGGGGATGCTGCAACGGTCACGTAAGTCTGAAAAATGATCATCGGTCCCTTTTTTCAATGATGTTGTAATTTCACACATTCACTAAGCGAACTGTTGTAAGTCGAGGACTACCTGTATAGGAATAGCTGGTGTGATAATGGATATCCCACGTGTGAGAGAATGAGACTATGGATGTTGAGAATGAGAATATGGACACTGAGGAGAAGATCATATTGTACGCCAGTTGTGCCCTTTCTAAACTGTGAGACCCTGAGCTCAATCCCTGATCATCACACACTTGGACTACTGCAATGTATTCTACATGGGGCTACCCTTGAAGAGTATTCTGAAGCTACAGTTGGCAAGACATGCAGCAGCACAGTCTTAGGGACCCCTAGAGTCGTGGTGGTGAACCAATGGCACACATGCCGGAAGTGGCACGCAGAGCCATAACTGCCAGGATGCGAGCACTCGCCCAGAAAAGGTCTACTGTGCATGCGCATGGGCCGCCCGCCTGACAGCTGATTGTTGGGTATCTGGCGTGCATGCGTGGGGACATGGAGACACTTGAGCATGGGCAGAAGCATGCAGCATGCGTGGGGGGGGGTCATGCATGTACAGCGCGGGTCGCACAGATTGCATGCACATGTGCAGGAGGCATGAGGGGCTGCGCGCATTGCCTTCTGGGTGATGGCACGTGAGGATGAGTAGGCAACCACGTGCGCAATTATCGGCATGGGAGCCCAAAAAGGTTAGCCACCACTGCCCTAGAGTGACCCATGTAAAACCACTGCTACATGAACTGCACAGGTTGCCGCTTTCTTCCAGGTTCAATTCAAGGTGTTGCTAATTATCTTTAAAGCCTTTATGACATGGGTCCATTGGCCAGCCCCGTTCTCTCCAGCAGAAGGGGCATGCTCCAGATCCCAAATAGCCAAGAAATTGCAACTGGTGGGTTCCAGGAGAAGAGCCTGTTCTGCATGGCTCTGTATTGCAATATCATGTCCCCTGAGGTGAGGCCTACCCGCCCCCCCCCCAACTTCTTGGCTTTCTGAAAGGCCCAAAAATCTGGCTCTGCCAAGTGGCTTAGGGCCTCGATGGGATCATTTGATTTTGGAGGTGGCTAGTAGATTAGGAGAAGATCCCACCTCACAGTAGTCTATTCACTGGTTCTTTTTATTCACTTCCTTGTCAATAAAGGAGAATATTTGCAACTCAGAGTTGGAACATCTGCAAGAAAACAAGCAAGCTCAGAGATCACCAAGGACCCCTCTGTTGTCAATTTTAATGTTTTAACTTCCAGTGCCCCATGTTTTAGTCTTTTAAACTTTTGTAATCGTTTTATACTGTTATTTATGGCATTGTGAGCCACTTTGAATAGCTCGATAGTGAAAAGGGCAGCATATAAATTTAACAAATAAAGATGCTGCAGGAGGAAGGAGATTTGCCTTCAGCACAAAACCCAAATGAATCCCTTTCTGCAGAACCAGGGGCTCAAGCGGTCTGTTGCCTTCTGAAGGTTCTGATGGTTGCACTGTTCTCTTTGGACCCAAAAATTCCATCCTCAAAGGATGGCCCTGAACAGATGATGGCCCTGAACAGTGGTGGGAATCAAAACTTTTTGCTACCGGTTCTGTGGGCGTGGCTTGGTGGGCGTGGCGTGCTTGGTGGGCGTGGCAGGGGAAGGACACGGCAAAGTCTCCATTCCCTCTCCACTCCTGGGGGAAGGTTACTGCTAAATCCCCATTCCCTCCCCACCCCACTAACCTGATTTCCAGCTCCATTCTCCTGTGCAGGGCAACGAAAGAAGACCCAGCCGATCAGCTGGGACTCGGGAGGCAGAGAAGAGATGGGGGCGAGGCCAGTCGGAGGTGGCATTTGCCAGTTCTCCAAACTACTCAAAATTTCTGCTCCCGGTTCTCCAGAACTGATCAGAACCTGCCGAATACCACCTCTGGCCCTGAAGCTGACTGATAGCATAGGAGGCATATAAGGGTCTTCTAACTAACCACAATAATGACCTGAAGCCCTTTTTTTGGTCCCAGCACCTATTGGGTTTTTTTTGCTGAAGCAACATTTGAGCTACCTTTTTTTAACCTTTGCCTTTTTTAACCTTTAACCTGACCCTTCAGGCAACAGAGCAATGCCTTGTTTTATTCTAGATCTGCAGTATAGCTGCCGATGTTACCTACACTGGTAGAATCCGACCCCTTGCCTCAGTCACCTCAAATTGAAACACCCTCCTATATAGCCTGGCATTAGTTTTCTTTGCTGTCTTGGGAAATCCTCTTCCAGATAAGCTTGCCTGATGATGGCCAAACACAGGAGGGCCAAGGATAGAATAAGGAAATGAACTATAAAAGAATTAGTGAGCTCTCAGAGACACTTTTCAAAAGGATGAGGATGAGGAAGATGGGGAAGTGGCCGAGTGAACTTACCGCTGCACCTCCTTATTCTTCCACAAGGAGGCAGACTGAGCCTTCGGCACTCGCTCTATAAAGTTGACCAATTCCTCCATAAGAAGCCTGAAAACAGAAAAAGGCAGCTGAAGAAAACGAAAACACAGCAGGTAGAATTGACGCACTAGGATAAGTTTCTGAGGATTTTCCAAACAGCTAAATCACGCATGGTTTGATTTCTCAAACTGGACCAATTCTTTAGGTTTGATTGCTTCTCCGAATGAAGCATTCTTAACACAGCTGATGAATATTTGCTCTAATTGATCAGTGAACACTGATCAATAGAGGCAAATATGATTTTAGGCTGAAATGTGACATTTAGAATAATTACAAATTATCTCTCTGAGTAAACTTTGTCAGGTATTTAATTTCAGGTTTGTTTTTTTAAATAAATGTTTTTATTGTACAATTTTCCTTTCTATAACAGTTCCAATTATACAACATCGTTGTGTACTGGTTATATCAAATCCTGCTTTTCCTCCCCCGTCATATTATACATCCTAGTTACAACTACCATACAGTATAATCTCTTTTGACTACATCGTGTTATCCGGATTATAACTATTATTTGCTTAGTTTTACCATAATGCACTATTACAATTCTTATTTTGTGCATTTCATACTATATTCACATACAATTCAATAATAATATTTCTTACATTGTTTATTCTTACATATTTCCCTATCATTTCAGGTTTTCATAGCAGCTACACTGTGGCTTGTTTCATTAAGCTTTACTGCCATCACTCTAGCACATTGGTTACAGAATTCATCTGTTCTAGAAAAGGGAGCAGAGGCTGCCAGGAATAAGAGATCTCAGATGACCACTGAAGGGTCAGAATCTAATTCTTTTACCTGTTTCCTCCATTGATTAAATTAAGTGGAATTACTCCCATGGAACCACTGATGGATGCCAATGTTGATCTGACTGTCAAATCACTACCCAACCATCAACATTGTGACAGTACCAGTAAATTGCCCAATGCAAAGCCCAGATGTGAAAAATGATCCGATCCTGAAACACTCTTTTAGAAGAGATAAACTGGTCAGAGTACCGTCAGAGTACCTAGCCATCAGCATTACTTATTATTGTTTAATGTCAATGGTTTTTTTACGTTGTAGCATGGTTGTTGCACTATCCATTCAACTTTAATTCTTTCAAGTTATTTCTTTATTTTGCCACATTCCAAATTCAAGTTTAGAATCAATACATTGTTGGTCTCCTTTTCTGAAGTGACTAGAAGTGACACAGAACACAGGGAGCACCTGTTATTTTCTTCTCTTGAATCAACTAATTGCTGCATTTGCTCAAAGATCACATGCACATCTGACTTACACATATTCATCTTGTTAGATGCAAAATTCTCTTAACAGTAACAATAGTAAAAGTTTGTAATTTACTATTGAAAGCAAATATCTCAGCTACAGTTCTTTGAGCTAAGAGAAGCAGTTACCCACTGAATCATGTGCCAGAAAATAGGATGGGACAAAAACAAATTTTAATTTCTATGTAAATATACTTGAAATTGTGGTACTTAAAAAGTTCTATTCCCCATATTTTAATTTATTCCCACATAAAATTTGGCAGCAAATTTTGAAGAAGCTCAGGGTCACCCACAATCATGAGTGCTACATGTGCACTTCTTATAATGGATACTAACTCAATTAGAACCCAAAGGAAACAAGAAAGCATTTAGTAACAGCTCTAAAGCCCTTAAAGATGGATCCCTTCTTGCAAAATCACAAGGCATAACATTTCTACATCATTCTGCTTATGTCTGACTTCATTTAGTGTCCTTTCTCTAGTTCTAGATGTAGAGTTAAAAGGTGGGTGGTTTCAAAAGATGCCAACAGTGGCGAACCACGTGGAAAATAAATCCTACGAGGAAAGACATGAGAATACTTAATATGCAGAAGCAAAATATCAGATTGGAAATATTATACAGATCAAATATCTAGAAGGCAGATTTCACAGGCAAGGACTAGCTTGAACAGCTAGATGAAAAGATATCAAAAGATAGATTCTGGTTAAACATTAAGTTAAATAACCAGATAACAAATAAAATTACCAAAGAAAAAAATAAATAAAAAGGAACCAGATAAATATTCCCCCATTCTACTACAGTTCTTTAATCATGGGGAGACTAAGCCTATGGATTTCCTATAAAGAATGGGATTCTAAGGCTTACAAGCCCCTCTCTAGCTGCAAGATTTTATGGCTCAAGCTCAGTGAGTGCTGGCAGCCCTCCCTTTTGGACTCACTAATAATCTTTAGCAACTTGGAAATTTGGGGACTGTTGATTCTTTTCGATTCCTTTTTCTTCACAGGGGTAGGGCCATAATCTTCAAGGCCTACCTTTCTTCAGTATTGCAACACTCAAATAACTTTGCCAAACGCTCAAGTCTGATGTTTGATTTTCAACATTTGGGAAACAAGGAGTTCAACATGTGCACATGCTTTGAGTTTCAAACACTTCTTTGGCTTATTTTCAACCCTGTTAAAAAGTTCCTTACGTTCATGAGAAGCAATGTTTCTCTGCTGTCCGTTACCCCCTTTTCTTGCCCTTTGCCACTTCTTTCAGCATTGAAAGAAAATGGGATTATTAGATAACATTGCCTTAAGTGGATTTTTCTTACCTGCCGATCTGCACTGTTGGCTCAGTGGCATACACAGTTCCAGTGAACCCAGTGTGTTCTGTGATGTAGGGCAAGGCCATCATGCAGTGGTAATTGGAGATCAGGATCACATCCACTGTAGACAGGTCAATCAGTTCCATCTGAAAATATAACCCAGAAATCATTTGGAATTATTTCTCCATGCTGCTTTCATATATATGCCACCCCCCCAGCAATAGTTGGATTAAAGAAATCTTGCCCACCACTCATCTGAGAGTTTTAAAATGGACAGAATATGCCTTAAGATTATTGTTAGTTCCTATTTCCTTAACACACTGGTCTATATAAACAAGGAAGAAGAATTATCTGGTTCTTCACCTTAATTTTATTTCTATATAGCTCAGATCTCCAATATGGTATTTGAGGATCCAGGAGCCTTCATAAACCTCCCTTGCTGTCCAATGGGTTCCTGGTCCCACTTGACATTTTCATTAAAAAATAAAAACAGGAAGTTGGCATTTTACAAAGCAAACTATCCCCTTTTATTTCTATGAATGCCTCATAGCCACCAAAGAAAACAAAAGAAAAAAGTGGTTTTTCTTACAACTGAATAGCCACAAATGAAACATTACATTACTAAAGTCGGGTAGAAAATTTAGTTCCATGGAACTAAAGAGCCCACATGTACAAATGTAGTGCCATTTGGAAGATAAAGAAGGCATCAAATTAGTGTCTCTTTAATGTACATTTTCTAACATAGGTAGCATGGGGACAGTGTTGAAAATGACTTTTTTCCAGGTTGGTCATTAATTCCTACCAGAGATGGTATTCAGCCAGTTCTGACAGGTTCTGGAGAACTGGTAGTGGAAATTTTGAATAGTTCAGTGAACCGGCAAATACCACCTCTGACTGGCCCTAACCCCATCTATTCTCTGCCTCCCAAGTCCCAGCTGATCAGCTGGATCTTCTTTTGTTGCCAAAGCAAAAAGTAATTGTAATTTTAAAATTAGGTGGTAATTTACTTAAATATGGCACGTTTACTTAAATAACTACAGCAAATACGATAACGTCATATACTTAGTAATTTCTAAATTTGTATGTGTATATATGTGTGTAAACATACAACACACACACACACACAGAGTCACACACTTTTCTGAAAAATGCTTGTAATTTGGAGTCCATTCAGGTTTTATCTCAAAGTCTTAGAATTACCCAACTTTAGAAATTGCATTCACATTAGAACTGGCCAGTGCTTTGGATTCAAGGGAAGAAGGTATTCTATAGGTATGGGATGGGTGGGAATGTAAGACCTCTCAGAAGCTGCTTAAATCAAAACACCCCTAAGGTGAGTTTATTCAAGGAGTTCCTAACAGGTAGAATAAGAATCCCTAAGCCATGTGGTCGAAAGAACCTTTTTGCCTAGAAATCTGAAATATTGTACCATCTTGGTATGCAGTAGACTTCCCCAAGCAGTGCCCTTCTACTTTGCTAGATTATAATTATAAAAAATAATTCCACACTGAAGAAAAAGTAGGTCTACAGAAAATCCTCAGAAAATGAAGATGCAGCTGAAAGACTGAACTTTCAGACTCTAGTTATATTCTCTTGTCTACCGCATCTGAAATTAATTCCTGTCCTCTTGTTGCTAGCTCTAAAACCTGTCCAATTTCAGGGCTGGAAATGAGTTTAATCATTTTCAGACTATTCTGCGAGTACAGGAATAGAATCAGATAAAATGGATTTACAAGGCTGAAGAAAAAGATTTTGCTTCCTGTAACAAGAAATATTTACAGGTATGGCTGGGACATTGGTGGACTCAATCTGGAGAATTTACCAGAAACTTAACCTCTAACTCAGTTATTATGGAGCAACTAACGACATTCAATAGTCGTCAAGCAGAAAAATTACCCAAATCTAAACTTATTGATTTGAAGTTAATGGTGGAGAAATCAATCAAATTGGCTGTTTAAAAACTAAATGTCTCCTAATAACTAATTACTGACCTGGGGGGTTCCTTTTTATGTTGAGATTAAAATTGAACCCATGGAAGATGTTAAAATTAATACAGTGCAGAATCATGACTAGAATTGGAAAGATATACTAAAACAGGTATTAGAAAAGTTTCTCATAGGGAACAGTTGTTTGGTTCCCTTTAACTTAATTAGCTTGTGAAATCTACCACTATAATAAAATAATGGGCCTTGGGGGGGAAATATTTAAATGCCATGATATGTCAATACTTAAAAAGATTAGAACTGTGCAAGCCATAATATTCCCTGTGACATTCTATGCAAGCAAAAGTTTGACATCAAAGAAGCAGGATAGGAAAATGCTTTTAAACTTTGGTGTTGGAGAAGATTTTTGAGAACACCATGGACAGCCAAGAAAACAAATTAATGGACCATCAGGAAAAAAAAATTGGTTTCTCACTTGAAGTGAGGTTCAGGTTCAAACTGTTCTGTTTCAGATACTTTATGCAAAGACTCAACTTTCTAATGCTTGGAAAAGTGGAAGAAAAGAGAAGAACGGAAGAGAAGATGGATGGACTCACTTACACTGGCAGTGAGTGCACAATTGGGAACTTGAAATAAAGGTTAGGGATAGATCGTCACAGAGAAAATCAATCTATGTGGTCACTAGGAATTGAAGATGATGGCAAATAATCAATCAATCAATCAATCCAAAGGAAGGTCAAACAAGTTCATGAGTGAACAGGCTTATTTCAATGGTTGTAATCTATTAATTCAAAGGAATCTTCATATGCAGATTAGAAATGGGACAAATAGTAACAACAACAACAACAACAATAATTTATTAAATCTGTATACCTCCTACTGACTTTGGGCTGCTTACAGTTCTTAAGTACCCATCTCTTTTCCTGCTTATGAATTTATATAAAACATCCAGTAAGTTGATAGGTGAAGATAAGCAGACCTTAGCCTGATCCATCAAAGGATGGACCAATACTATTAATCAATGGGGTGCACAGCTTTCTCCAGCCTGGAGGCAAAATACATGCCAGGTGTCACACTCCAAAAAGTAACAGGTGAGGCTGGGACAATAATTAACTTTGTTTTTTATTCCATTTACATGTTGATTTAATTAAAATAAATCTTTATTACTAAATAAAGTTAATAAAAATAAACCAGATTACTCGCCGGATATCTTCAAATAACTTAAAATTGTTAAAAACTTCGGTTTTGGTAATAGCTTCCAGAGGTTTCTGAAGGCTATAATCAAATATTTCAACAGCTTCAATTTGCCACTGAGCTTTCTGATTGCATAATTCTGCCTTAAAAGGTAGAAGATTGACAAATAGAACAGATTGAAACAAATTTATGTTTTTGGGGGGTGAGAATTGAAAAAGTTCATAAGAACAAAATCAACTTTATTTTTCATTTCAAAACTTTCATCTGACATAGAGAGATTTCTTCCATTTGGTAATCTCACCCAAAACAACACGAATATCCTAAATCAGAGTCCCATTGAGTGGGGCTTTGATTAAGATGCTCACTCTCCCCTGTCCTGGGTACCCTGGGTATCCTTGATGGCCAGAAGAAGACATTAGCCAGAAATAAACAGAGGTCCATGAATTGCCCTATATCACTCAAGGGAAGAAGCACTGTGCATATTGTAACTCATCATACTTTGAAAGAAAATAATGGGGGAGAACAATCAAAAAGCAATTTCTATGGCTACATACAGATATTTCTATATACATATACAGACCCAGTATATTACTGCTTTGGGAGGCAAGCAACATTATACAAAGTGTGATAAAAGAAATGTCAATTAAGGGAGAGATATTAACAATACAATTAGGCACAACTACTAGGAGTAAGTATTACTAATTTCAGTGGGACTCACACATAATTAATGAGGATATAATTACAGCCTAAACATATGAATTTACCTTCTACTATAGGAACCAGTGGGGTGTTAAATAATGGCAGTTCTCTAGTATCTTAGGCTAGAAAAAATATTTCCCTTAAAAAAAAACCTGATAAAAAAGTGGACTTTTTTTATTAGGTGATACCAGAAATTGAACCAGAAAACTTTTGCAGACAAAAGCAGACATTTCTTTCTTTGAATTCTAACTCTTGGCTACTAGTTGAGTAGAGAAAAACAACCGTTTGAACCTGAATGCCACAACTGAACTTTATAATATAGATTTGATCAGTTCTAATAAGAGTAATGAACTGGTCTATCTCATAGGGCTGCTGAAAGACTTTCCAGTATGGAATCTGTGAGCTCTTTTGAAAATTAGAATATAAACATGTTGGGCCTTATTATTTTATTATATTAGAAAATGTATGGGCAGAGCCATAAGCTGGCTTTAGGAGGGAAAGAAGCAGAGTTAAGGATTACAATTCTGTTTTCCTTAAATTTGACAAAAAGCCCCAAATCAGGATTTTCCAACCTTGGCAAATTTAAGACACATGGATTTCCCAGAATTCCCCAGCCAACCATGCTGGCTGGGGAATTCTGGGAGTTGAGGTCCACATGTTTTGAAAGTTGCCAAACTTGAGAAGTCCTGCCCTAAATTTTTGAGAAAAAAGGTAGCTTTTCAGCAAGAGCTTATAATTTATTCTTCTAGAAATATTTTCTCTCCTGCAAGGTGGATGTTCTGGACCGCCCCTAACTCACAAATGCCATTTTAACATTAATACAGAACTAGTAAGCGATCAGATTTCTCTGGGGCTATACTGCAGTTCTGGCTAGAACTTCCACTACTAACTACCAAAGCACTAAGAGAAATATTTTGAATTGTGTCCAATAAGGAGACCCACCTCTGGCAAACAAAACTCAGGAACAGAGTCCACAAAGACACGGCCAGAACAGTCTTTCAGCTCCTAGGAATGGGGTAGAAAGAAAATAGACATTTAGCTATAACCAAACAGACCACAATGACATTCGACTCTGTGTTAATGGATAGTACTATAACATTTTAAAGAAAATTAAAAAATAATTCACTGGTTAGTCAGATGAGGTAAATAAATCCTAGGAGATGCAGTTCCACTGGGTGAGTATCAATCCAATTTTTCTTCCTTGACCTGGCACTAGAGCTGAACAACACTGGACTTAGCAAAGGCTTAAAAGTTAACAAATCCTCCATTTTTAACCAAGGACTGTGTCTGGGCACAGTTGAAAATCACCCCTCTCTCCTTTTTGGTTTGTTTTATTTTTATTCCTTGGCTCTTAGATTCTTTGCTTTCTCTACTGACTAAAGCCCCACTTTTCATTCCCTTGATTTTCAGGATTGAAGTTGTGCTTTTAATTCCTTAGCAAAGTATGACCACATAAATATTCTAGATTCTTTGCTTTCAGGTCAATTCAAGCCCCTTTCCTTAACATCTGGACCACTAACTGAAGCCCATGTAATGAGGTCTGAGATGAAATAATGGCCCACAAATGGAAAACTGTAGTAATTTTATCTCTGTGTAATTCTAAAGAGAAGATTATTTTTTGAAGGAGGGATTCTCCATCTATGAAATCACAGCTTTCCTATACATAACATACTATCCTGCTCTTTTAAGTATCTAGCATTGGGATTTGGATTCAGTTCTTAAGAAACTCTCAACAACTTTGCCAAGTTATACACACCAACCATTATATCTGACAGAAAGCCCTTAAACTTATCAAGAGAACTTAGAAGGTGAATGGGTAAGCAAGGGGAATTTCAATGCCCCAGTGAACATTGGATTTAAAAGAATTGCATCCAAATGCAGCAAAGACCAACATTCTCCTTACAAAATAAAGTGTTCACCTTTAACCCCAACCTTTAACTCCCAATTCTGAGCAGAACTAGGGAAGTAATTTGTCATTCTAAGCAAATTAGATCCCTTGAATGGACTCTATTGGGGCTAAATCAAAATACTCTGAAAGTCCTAATATTAAACTTGTTACTATGTGCCCCTTTGAATTCTCTCAAGGATCAGAGTCACTGGAGAGACAGACAGGTGTTGTGGTTAATGTGATGGACTAGTGCTGGGAAGACCCAAGTTCAAGGTGATCTTCAGCCATGATAATTAAGGGGCTGACATGGGTGATCTGACTTCCAGATCTTTAAGGAGCATATCTGTCAAGCCCATAGCGGTTACTATACATTAAAAAAGCTACAGTAGGAAAAACAGGTGTTTGTGTTACGGAAATCTTGCCTACTGGTTATGTTTCCTTTAACAACCCTTTCATCTCTTAAGTTAATTAAGGCAAAGATTCCTTGACCCTTTTGTCACTTCTTGATGCAACAGGAAAGTGATTACCCATTATCCTGATAAAGTCAGGAATATACAGAAGTCCCAAAGTTAAAATATTCTGCAAAGCAACATCTTTCCCAAACTCTTGAGGGGTTCATTGCATCACAAAGGAATCTTAAAAAGTGCCTTCAAGAGTTTTCAAGGACCATAGGGAATCTGCTGAGCAAAGTAGCTTGAAACAAATCTTCCAATACATGAGATCTGTCCATACAGGGAATCTTGAGATGACTTCACTAGATGTATAATCAAGCTTGAGCACTCCCCCTTAAGACAAGTACAATTTAAGCAATACTTTGAAAATAGAAAAAGAATTGTAATTGTTCCAATGCATTTTTCATTTGTTATAAGACACAAGACCAGGAAATATTAATCAAACAAGGTACAATTACAAAGAGAGGTAGCTGAAAAAAGTAAATGGAGGGACGATATTTTATAATATATTTGATTTCCCAGCTCAAAATTGGACTTGAAAATGTTGCTCATTTTGATGACAGTTTTGTTTTCTTCACTGGGTAAATGGATTTTGCTTAGACATGGTTTCATTGCCCAATTAGTTAAATTCACTGAGAATCCTAATCCCATTGGTACATTACCTTGTCCAAGAAAATGCTTCCATCTTTTAAGATCCATCCTGGGAGCTTGGATAGCCTTGGACTGTAAGGAAGTAAAAACATTGTTTTAATCAGCACCCATTTTCCAAGATCTGCATATAAAACATTGATAATGTACATGCTTCAAAATAATATTAAGTAAGCATTTAAGAAAATTTTGCTGTAACAGCAGCTTGACTAAAAGCTAAAGATTTCATTCAATGTTTTTCAAACTTGGCAAGTTTAAGATATGTGGACTTCAACTTCTAGTATTCTGATTTAAGAGGACAAAACTTCAGAAGAAAGTAAGGCCATAAGTTAACTTAGAACTCTAGATTTTGGTCATGAAGTGTTACAAGCCTATTAACAATATTCGCCCATTGTGGATACAGGTGATAAATAAAATGACCCCATCATTATCCTGGCATTTCACTGCATGCTAAAATATGGGGAGAAAAGTGAAGCAGAAACATACAAGTTCACGACAAAGGTGATTATCTATTTATTATTAAACAACCCATGATCCATTGGGTCATCCATACTGAAAGAGAGAAACAGAATGACCATGCGTGGATTACTATCTGATTTTTCTCATCATTTCATTGAAGGGAACTTAAATGGAGTTCTTTGAGAACAGCTTTGCCAAATTGTTGGGGGGATGAAATTGATACATTCTTCCATAGTTCTTGCTGGCAAAACCATACGTTCAGGTAATTCTATTTTATCATTTTGATTTTTTTCTGATTTTTATCTACCGTATTTGCCGGCGTATAAGACGACTTTTTTGCCCTGAAAAAGATGCCTCCAATTGGGGGGGTCGTCTTATATGCCGGGTCGTCTTATACGCCGGCAAATAGTAATTGGGAAGCACTGCGGCTGCCCGCGGCTGAGGCACTTTTGCGCACCGTGGAAACGAATCCCGTGAAGCCGAAAGGAGCAGCCAGCCTTCTCCCAGCTCCCAAGGAAACGAGGCTCGCACCGCCCGAGCTCCGCTGAGGTATCCGGCTGGGGCTGTCAGGAGTTGTTACCGCTGGCGCGGCTCCGCGCGGCTCCAGTCCCGCGTTGCCTCGGGAAGGGAAAGGCAAAACCAGGAGCCGCTGCTGCCATTGCAAAGCGCCGCCGCGGCTCTTCCTTTTTCCCTTTCCCTTCCCGAGGCAACGCGGGACTGGAGCCGCGCCAGCGGTAACAACTCCTGACAGCCCCAGCCGGATACC